AGCTGCTCAGGGGGAAGTCAGAAAAATGGCTTCAAAAATCCTCGCTCAACGCAGGAAGTCAGAAAAATGACTCTTGTCTCAAGCCGCTCGGGGGAAGTCAGAAAAATGTCTTCAAAAATCCCCGTGCTCAACTTAGGAGGTTCGAAAAAGAACTCTTATCAGTCAACTACTCAACAGGTTCAGCTTTGTCAGGTTCCCATGCCTTTTCATTATAAAAGTAAATATTGAAGCGTTTACTTTATTTAAAAGCATATTTTTTGGAGTGAAAAAGAGAACTCTTAGCATTTTCTGTTCAGTCTAAGGAACAGATCCAAAGAGAACTCCTAGAGTTCGCCGCTTGGTACATAGAGCAATGAAGACTTAAAGAATCAAAGATAGACTCCCTAAATATAACGTGAGTGAGCAACCTCTTTTAAAGCTCATAATAATCCCTACCACCTCTTTTAATAAAGTATATCGATCGAAATTGATTGTCATTTATGGATAATTAAGCAGGTACTAATAAGTCAGATTGTCTTACGCTCTACAAATATACGACATTAATGATTAATTATTGGGTTTTGATTACCTGAAATATATTGCACTAATGGTTAATCAATGGAAGTGGTTGTCACAAGCCTTATAAGTAGACAACTGATGTGCAGGTACAATCATATTCTTCTATCCTAATAAAATATAGACCTGTTTATGAAACATATCTTACTTGAGCGTTAGAAGTCTTCTGCAGGTCAACCACCAATCGGAAAAGATTACTTGAAAAGTTGGTCGATCGGACATAACAAAGAAGGATGACCGACCCTAGACAAATGTAAACAAAACAATTTTTAATAATTATAATTTAACTAAATTATAATTTGACTAAATTAAAATTATTGTTGTCTCTAAAACAATACTTTTTATGAATATATATCCTTAGTTATATTTACTTAATTAAATAATTTTATAATTAACTAATAAAATATAATAACCCTAGAGTAAATGTTATTAATTATTTCTATCACATTTCATATGCAAGGGGCATAATAAATATATTGACACATCAAAACTTAATTGTTTATGGTGTATTTTTATTAATACTGCATAGTAGCATTAGAACTAAACATGTTTAATTAAATTACATATTACATATTTTTATTGTCTCTGTTCCGGCATCAGATTTAGTTTTATATGTTTTCCAACATCTATAATTATAGGTATTTATTTATAATACATGCTGCCACCACCATAAGATATTCCTTTCCATTAACTGGTTCTTGCCAGCACTGCATTGCACCTTCTTTATAATCACATCACCAACAGTTTAAGACTGCAGGTATTGAATCCTCGTCATCCTTTTTATAATCGAACAAAACCACCTGAAACACACATTTTAATAAAATAACTTCCTAATTACTTTGGGAAATAATTTGTAAATCCAAATTATTTGACACAATTATTCTAATTTTTTACACATATCTTCTAAGTTTTTACACATATTTTATTCTAATTTATGCAAATCATATTTATGAGAACATCCCCAAATCCAGCTCCCCTATATTACTTATTTCCTCGATTTAAAATTACATATATTTTTATGTTGTTTTACTTTCTCACTACGAAATTATTATTAGCTGTGATAACGCTTAACCGTTTTTTCAAGTTTCTTAAAAACTATTTAATATTAAAATTCAAATGTGATTTTTGTCCCAAATCTTCGTAGAATTATTTGTTAGTTTTAATTTTTTGACCTTTTTTTTTCAATATTTATTGTTAATTATGGTTAGTTTTACTTCCACAGTGAAAGCTATTAATTAATATAGTTAAAGTTACAAAAAATATTTCAATTTAAGATAATCATTTTTTTTACGCAATCAAATTAAGTAATACATTTCTTATTTAATATAAATAAAATCATTATGTGATTTTTTTAACTTCTTCAACCCATAATACTTATCTTATAAACTCATCAGTTTGACTATTCTTAATATTACTTTATTGAACTTGCATGATTTGAACAACGATTAGGAGAGAAGTCTCAAAGAGTTATTATTGTCTTTTATCACTTTGGTACTACATCTCTCGTGTACACAAAATCATCTCTCGTGTACACAAAATCATCTCTTCTCCATCAAACACTAATGTCAATCCACAAAAACACTCATATCATAATCCCTTAGACGAAAGGGCCTAAGTTTCCTTACTAAACGACAATCATTTAATCTTTCAACAAACAAACATGCATTAAGATCTGGGGTTTAAGACAACTAATGGATCATGTTCCATTTCTTGATATAAGTTTCACTAGATCTCTTGTCTCAAGTCTAGGTTTCACAAGATTCTATCCAAAACCTTATGAACCACAAATCGAGCAAAGAATGTCCCCATTCAAACAACCATTAAGCATAGAAACAAAAAAAAAACTAGCATTCAAAGGAAAAGACATATATATAATCCAAGCATTTACAAGGTACACGAAAGTTTAAAGGCTACAATATCCCTAACAAGATGGGCTTGGCTCTCTATTTCCATGGAGAACCTCAAGCTTACAAAATGAAAGATGAAGAAAAAAGAAAACACAAGAAGGAAGAAGAGGTTGTTCCACAAGCCCTAAGAAGCCTCCATGAGCTCCTATAGTGGAGTCGCGTCTCCAAACCACTAAAAGACCCTTCTCCCTTCTAGAAACTTGAATAAATAAGCACAATTTGACATATCAGCATATGCATTGCACAGTGCAAGGGGCCTACTGCTCAGAGCTGGACTGAGGAATGCTAAAGGCAACTCTTTGGAATGTTGGTGCTCAACGGTGGTAGGTGCGCTCAATGGTGACTACTCTATTTACTCTTTGTAATGGGATCACTCAACGCAAGAAGGTGGTGCTCAACGCCACCTAGACTTCAAGATCTCCCTCTTTTGATGTTATTCTTACTCCTTTAGGTTTCCAAGTTCTCTAATTTGGTATAAGGTCTTCTTATTACAAAAATAAGATATAGAAGAAAAAAGTGAGGATTAAGCAAGTTACAAGATAAAGAAGAGTTTATTTTGTTAATAAATTATGGTCCAGATATTGGTAAAAATATAACATTATCACTAAGTGAGTAGTTAGATTAAATAAAAGTGATAGATATACAAAGGAAATGGAAATGGAAACTCATGGAGGTGAAACTTGAAACATGTATACTCATTTTCACCAATTTTTTGGTTACCTATAAGCAACATGGTTAGCGATAAAATGCAACCTAAACACCTAAAAGCTTCTTATTGAAAGGAATCTCCAAAAATATTCTTATATCAATTTTAACATTTCAATTTATAAAAATCAACACCCACCTTTATTCGAATAACCTAAACAATAATCATGTTATAAACTTTTCTAAAGAAATATATAAAATTCTCATACTCTTATAAAAGAAAATAAAAGAAATTGTATGGTACATAAACAAGTATCCTTTGGTCATACTAGTATTAGTCTCATTCTTGGATGATGCAGCACAAATTATAACTGAATAAGTCGTAAGTGTTTGCACCTAAATATGTTCAGTTTGCATAGTATGTGACTTCTACTAGGCGGCCTGGTCGATTATCTGTCGGTTTGTCAGAACTAATACCTATGGAGCATTGACTACTTTGTAGTTGTTATTGGGATATGATCAAACAATCTCACTAAGATAAATGATTCCATAAGCCCATGTCCAAGGCCATCCCGGTAAGGGTCTACACACACCATAAATAATATTATAAATAACACAATTATTGACGTATTTTATTTACGTTCTCATTAAGCACACATTTATTAATTTGCTAACGTGAGAGGCAGACTTATGTGTCAGAGTGTTCTACGACCACAACTAGGGATGGTAAAAAAATCTACAGGCGTGGGTATCCAAGGATAAAATTCTTTGTGGGTAGTTACTACCCTTAGATATTCTGCGGGTAACAGGTAGCATGTATTTTAGTATCCGCTTCTAAACGAGTCAAGTACGGGTATTATACTATCCAATCCATATGTACTCGTTACCCGCAAAAAATAATAATAATAATAATTTAATTTATATTTTTTAAATTAAATTTAATTAAAAGTAAAATTAATTTATATTTTATTAGGTTAAATTTAATTAAAATTAAATTAAATTAATATTATATTATTTGTAATTTTATTTGAAAAATGTATAAAATACATTTTTTTTTATATTTTTGCAAGTATTCGTGAGTACTCGTAGATTTTAAAATACATATTTTTTAAGTAGGTATCCACGCGAGTAGTAGGCGAGTTGCAAGTAAACACCCGACCCGTTATCATTCTTATTTGTAATAAATTATGACGCATTTTTATTCCTATTTGTGATAAATTGTGATTGTGGAATTTCTGTTTGATGTTATGTTTGTACCTAAGTTTAATTTATGTTAAGATTTCTCAAAGTTATTATTAGCTTTCCTTCTTTGAATTGATTGGTGCTGCATATGGTGAAGATAATAGGCCATAAGAGTGTTGGCTTACTCTGATCTAGAGATGTAAATCATATAGTTTCACGTTATTGTAGTTATGTTTATACGTAATGGTGCTTTATCATCATGTTTTGAACTTTAGAGCCAAAGGATGCATTCATTTGGAAAATGTTTTGTAGTAAATGCTGGAATTACAATATATATATATATATATATATATATATATATCATGCATGTTTCCTGTTTTAGAGTTAATTAAGTTTTTCTTAATACCAAAACGGAATAGCTTATGAAATATTAGTTTGATCTATATTTATGGGGCTGTTTCATAAACAAAAGAAGATTCTTTTTATAATAACCAAAAGAAAACCGCTAATTTTATTGTAACTAAAACAATATTAAACTATTATCTTCAAAAAAAATTATCATATAAAACACATAACTTAATGGTTTCTATTGATTTGTAATTACCTATATATAAATTTCTTATTTTATTCCTTAAAACATTATACATTACTCAAAATATAAATTTAATAACTACACGTTCTATATATGCTTTTAAACTAAGATCATGTTTAGACAAAATCTGGTTTTGTATATAACTCTCATCAAACGCAATGCGTATCCAATAAATAAATAATCCACTTCACTTACATTATGTTAATGGTTTTGATATACCTGTGAGGAATTTATATCCACCATAACAGCGTGGTGGCATCAAATTAAAATACACCTTAGTTTTTGCTCAGACCTTTCTTTACTCGCCATGACTTGCAATGGTATCTCTGCAGCAGGATGAGAAAGCACTTTTTCCACAAAGATATCTTTGTGGTGCTTGTGCAGTAAAATCCATCTCTACTTACCTGTTATGGTCCCGGAAAAAAAAATGAAAAGCGACATGAAAACAAGATTTTAATGTTCTATGGACCATGCATAACTTTATTTAATACTAATTCCGCTCATAGTCCAAATGCAACATCATCCATTAAAGTGCGGAGATATCTTCCAATATACTGTACTATTTGTTAGTAATTATGTCTCCTTCAGAACTGGGATCTTTTTTGGCTAATCTCACATGATTTACTAATGGAGATCCAAACAGTAAAATGGAGTTAATGGTAAAAATAACTGCAGAACATTTACTAATTTATTGGGGATCAAATCATGGTTGACCAGTAAATGACTGACTAAAGAGAATACCTACCATAATTTTGGTGCACTCTCGTGAAGTTATAAATGGCTTTGATTAAGGAACCATATGTCATGAATTTCAATGATCCCATGTGTCTGTAATAAACACAATTCAGTCAGAAGAATCTATCAAAAAGAAAGAAAAAAATATCAAAAATAAATCAGCGTACGAATGATCCAAGTCTTGCCCAACGGCAAAATTGATTGAACCTTGATATCATTGGACCACCACCATTGTTTTCCTCGTTGTTTTCCTTTGCCTACTACTGTCATTACTTTTAGAATTCTCTAGAGTGTTTGTTCCGTACTGAGCTATTTATTACCTATTATGATTTTTTTTGTATGCAAGATTCTTCTTATTTCTAGAAGATTTGTACAGAAATGAAAATTAGAACTTTTCAGTCTTTCTTCATCATTGTCGTTCGCCAATTAGGTCCCTAAATATCCAAATCTTCTGAAAAAAGTTGTGTTGTACTCGAGGCCGAGGTTTCTCAGTTTTCTAACAATAAAAGATACATGTGTATAGCTTTCTGAAGCGATCATGAGATCACTAACTTTTAATATTAAGTTTTCACGTATAGGTACGGCCAACATTCATCAAAAATTATAAACAAGTTCTCACATCACCTACAGAGCAGAGTTTATGCATGGCAAGGAACTTTACGTTAAACTTTCAATGTTATAATGTCTCTGCAATAGAATTATGGAGTTCAGTTCGACTTTTAAACTAATTTCATTTACGAGGACTTTTACTTTAGTTAAATCATCACCATACTATTCCAAGTTGATAACTAATTCAGAACAGAACGGCAATGTAACAGAACTACCGCTTTTAGTTTCATTTCTGTGAAAAAAACAAACATTTTATCACTGCACTGATATAATAAACAATAATAGTTTCCTCTAAAGAACTTACACGATCTCTGTGTAGCGAAGTCTCCATGCAGGAAAACCAAGATGGCTCCTCACAGGTCCATAAACCAGTAAAAGGTCAGGCTCAGGGCCTTTGCTACCTGATCATATTGATAGCTACTTTTCTGAACAAGGCATTCAACTCTTAAACTATTATTAGGTCTAGAAAGCAAACATACCTACAATTTGCAATGCTTCATTCAATTGAGTTTCTAATGATTTTTGAGCATCTAGTTCTTCATCCAAGTAATGCTGTTTCAAGTTCTCCACAAAAACCAAGTTAGCTGCTTTCGCCACTGCCTCCTTCCCATCCACATAAGAAAGAAACTCCAGAGTCATGTGATCATGAGCATGGCGTGTAACAACTTGACTAACTTCCTGCACTGATTTAATGCTAGATCAGATCAAACAAGTGACATAACCGCAAACGTTACTATTCATGCTTGACAGCAATGGCAGCTGAATGAGCTATTTATCATATTTTCTACTAATGCATTTTTTGGAGGCAGAGGGAAAATACAAAGAGAACACGTGATAAGAATCATGTATTTCATCTTATAAATAATTTCTTAGACAATGACCCAAAAATAATCAAATACTGCAAGTAAGTCCCATCATCTATGAACATTTTAAGCCAATGACAACGGAAATGAGATCAGATGTACCCAACAAATTTCATGCGTAAAACCAATTTAATCTGGGACATATGATCTACCAGAATCTAACAAAAGGTTTGGTTACATATCCTTCCCCATCACCTAATTGAATAGTAGAAAGAAGTCAAAGAATCAAACAAAATTAAATGAGGAAAAGGTGGGATCCAAATTGATTAACATGGGAAAAATATAAGACACACCAATCACATGCAAGTTAAAATCATAACCCGGTGCCAAACTTATCTATAGCTTAACAAAGGATCAATCTGCAAGAAAACAATTATATGGTACCTGAATGGATTTTGCATTCTTCAAATTTTGAAGTATGGTTTCCTTAGACTTCTTCAATACTCCTAGAATGAAGAGTTCAAGGAAAACACTATTATATGGCCCGAGTAAAAGAAACCTTACAATCATTGGTTCTCCAAACCTTTCATACCATTCATGTCATAGAGGCACACATTCTTCACACCAATAGAGTCCATCCACTTCAACAGTTTAACAAGTTCAGAAATCTGACAAGCTTCTTCACTTTCTATGACAATGGCAAGGTACTGAACCTTTTCTGGATGAAGAGACTTGTGTTTTTCCAGTACTCCAAGAGAGATGAAGTAGCTCTCCAACAAATTACCCACGACTACTATGGAATACCATGCGCTGACAATTATTTGCAGAAAGTACCATAGCAGTCGAAGCCAGAGATCTCCAATCTGTAGAAGCCTTAAAACTCACAATGAATGGACTTAAATTTTAGGTTGAATGGAAAAGGATATGCTCAGTTGCATAGACTAACCATTTACGTTAAATATGATTGTGTTCAACAATACATAGATGAAAGATGACGCAACGCAACAACATGTATTTAGATTGGAATCTTTCTACACGAGCGTGGACTCTGTTAACAAAATAGAGTTATGTTGGAAAATGTAACAAGCATAATTTGTTTATCTTATAGAATAAGTAATTTATTGATTTAATATTGCCAGTTTTGTACGAACCTTTAGATATAGATTACCAGTTTCTTACCGTGTACACATCTGTTGATTCAGGATCTAGATAGTTGTCATTTTTCCCTTGTATTGGTCTATTTTTTTATTCAGTGCTTGCATTACAGCGCTTGGAGATGTGTCTATGACAGCATGATATTTGGTATTCAGTCATTTTGCTCTTGTATTGGTCAATTTCTACTGGGGTTAAAGATCTGTCTATGACAGCATGATATTGAAAGAAATAAAGTGCTTGAAATTCAAAGAATTAACTGAAACATCTCAGGATCTCTAAACAACTTTTAATTAGAACTCAAGTTAATGACTAATAATTGGTTATTAAATTGAATGAATATTTCGTTTCTACTAAAAAACATTAATATATGTCATAGAAATCTCACCGAATATTAAGTATTCTTGTTATTGCAACTACAGCGGAGAAAAGCTCTTCAAAATTAAAATTAGTATTCCCATATGCCAAAAAATAGATTGAACAATTTAGCTATTTTATCAACTAAGAAAAATTGAACACCTAACTTTGATTATATACAATTTTAATAGCGGGTGCAAGAAAAATATTTCTTTGAAATATAGTGTGCAGAGAGTTGCAGTACTGATGGAAGATTGGGCTGAAGTGAAATGATGAAGACTTACAGTAACAATACACCAAGAAAACTTGTGAGCTCCATCTCTAAAATCCATGGATCCTAAAAGTACGAAAAACATCAATTAGATCCATTTCAAAAGGAGAAAGAGGGCAATAAAAGAAGCGAGCATGTAAACAAATACACGAGTAACAGTTAAACTGGAAATAATTATTAATAATTGGTGCAATCAAAGTGGGAAACGGAGATGAATTCATAAAGCAAGAAACCAAAACATGAAGGCAGCAAGCAATAGACTAATACAGACGTGAATGCATAATTGCAACGAAAAACATACAAAAGAGGAAGAAGAATAAGAGGAAGACACGAACTAAAACCAGGTTACGATTAAGCAAACTCCAAAGAGAATAGGGAAAATCACAACATGAATAAAGAGTGGAATGAGAAAACGGAATGGCACCTAAAAGAGAAACTCAGCGAAACAAAATCGTTTAATTTGCAGCGCCAAGCGAATAACGAGAGAGAAGAAAGTGATAATGAAAGTTATTTCAATTAGGCTAATGATATTTTAACAAGACAACATTTTTTTTATAGCGGACATTTGTCAAAACATGAGTGGTCCACGTGAAAAAAAAAAATTTAAAATAAGAATAACGTGGAAAGAGAATTGGGGAAAGGGTTTGAAAGTGAAGAAGTTCATTTTTTTCTCTTAAGAATTTGAGAGAGAACTCAAGCTTAGAGAGAGAAAGTGAACCCTAGAGTGAGTCCCTCCCTCCTATCCAGCCAACTCGTCTCTTCCCATAAACGTGTCGGTTCAAGCGTGGTCTACCGGAGTTCCGCGTGATGAAGTGGTGTCCGTTTCGGTGACCGGCAATGTTGGAAGCTTTGATTGGAACCGCTACCGACAAAGACACGTTTTGAGCTACTGCCGTTTACGTCTACTCACCTTCCCACTCATTGTGGTTCGTTTTCCTTAGAGCGTCGCGGTCCTTTGTTCGTCAAAGTGTCGCCGTCGACGTTTACCCACCCACCCATCTTGCTTCGTGCCACCCACCTAGAGGCGTTGGTGTTCATTAAAGTGTTGTCGGACTGTCTTTGTTCATTAAATGTTGGTTTAGTTTGTTTAAATTTGTTAGGGAATTTATGTGTGGTTGTGTTTTTTGGAAATTTTTCAAGGTATGGTTTAGTGTGGGTTGAAGTTGTGTAGAAAATTTAGTGGTTGATGGCGTTTTTGGGTGGAAAGTATGAAGTTTTTTTCTAATTTTTTTGACCATTTACTGGTTTAGTTCTTTCGACACAATTATTATGCCATTTATATACAATTCCATGTCCAAGAGACCATTTTTTGTAAAACTCATGGTTCAGAAACTACAGTGATAGCAAAGACAAAATAAGTGGGGACTTCAGGCAAATGTTTTTTTGCACATGAAAGTACAAATACCTTGGTCATTTTTTATCTGAGTACCTTTGAAACAGATTCTTTCCTTGAATCTTCTAGTTAACACAAGAAGCTTTGTTTGTTTTGCTTTTTTATTTTGTTCTTATAAGTGCAAGTTTATCTAAATAGAGTCTATACCTTAATTGAAAGGTTACCTTATTTTGAAATAAGATTGATTTATGTTGTGTGGCAGGGACTATGGTAGAAACTTTTGAAGATAACAGGTACAAGTATGGGTCTAAGAAATCGACACTTAGATTAGTGGATATTATTGGGCTTGGATCCAGGCCTAAATTGGAGAAGAAACTTAAGTTTGCTTTTTATTCACCATAAGCTTTCTAAGTATAGTATTTTATTCTTTGACCATAC